TCATCATCATCATCATCATCATCAACAGCCTATAAATGCCCACTGCTGAGCAAAGCCTCTTCTCACACGGAGAAGGTTAGAGCGTTAATCACCACGCTTGCTCAATGCGGGTTGGCGATTTCAAACTTATAATTAGAAATTATAAGTCCAGGTTTCCTCACGATGTTTTTCCTTCACCGTTTGTCAGTGGTGTCTAAATAATCTTAGAAAGTACATATAACTCGGAAAAAGTCACATTGGTACTTGCCGTTGGTAGGTTTCGAACCCGCACCCTCATGCATGAGCAGTGGACGTCTTAAACCTCCGGACCACCACGACGATTAATTGTTTGGTTAAGTAATTTAACATAGAACACTTCTGGTATCAAGATGAAGCCATTTTCCATTTGATCTAAAGCATTTGATTTTGATCTACTGCAGCTGTAGCCAAATGCCACTTGGCGCTTGTCTACATGTAGAATAGACAACCAAATTATATGGAATTGACGTAAATTTTGACACTTTGTCATCATCCCCATACATTTTGATTTCTACTCTCTCTGTAGACAAGCGGTAAAGTGGCGTTTGGCTAAAGGCTCTGCAAACCAAACGTACAGTCCGATTACAGTTCTATTGCTGTCATGTCAACTGCATCCGGACTGCAATTTGAGGTTAGATTGTTTCTTTAAAAAAACGTTGCCATATACTAGGATTCTGTCGTGGATGCTTTTACAAACATACATGTTCACATACACATGACGCACAGACTCGGAACAACATTATGTGAATCACACGAAGAGTTGTGCCTTGCGACAATCGAACTTGTGACACGTTGCGCTGCAGCCAGTTGGCCAGCCAACGCACCAACCGTGCAGTCTTTGCAGTTGAAATGCGGTCCTAATACTTAGGCATTATTTTAGACTTATTCTATACTTCAACAACGGACTGTCACGGAACTTGGTGATTACAGTTTTTATCAAAAAGGATTTTAGTTTCGGAATACCACAATAGAATAAAAAAAACACATTCTATGTCGCATTACAAAAGCAGACGTTTCTTTAGCGATTAACTTAAGAAAAAATCATTAATAACTCACCTTTTTTCGAAGACTTGACAGCTGCCAATCCGCCATCTTGATTGTGCGCGGCCGCCGGCACGACCAACACTTGATTGCCTTCTAGAAGCTTCTCCTTCGCTTCATCACCTTCGTTCTCTTCCACGACCGACTTCACAGGAGTCGCCATTTCGATTTAATCGTAGTCAATTTAAAAAACTTTGGCCAGATCTCATAATATAAAGATTTGATACATTGGAATGTTATATATCCTAAGTTATGTATATCTTGCTACATAATACTATGTAGATGTCAGTCTTGTTTGATTGGCTGGCTTGAATCTGTAACAATTAAAACATGTACATTCGTTAATAGCTGAAAAATACGACATTAATTAAAGATTAACAGTAATAGGGTAGATGAGTAATTTTTATTTTAATGTCCGTCTGGTAGATTATTTAAAAACATTAGACACGTATTTTTCATTTTTTTCCGGCAACGAATAGTTTCGAAGATTTATTGATTCGAAATGTCGCGTGACGTCACTTCTATGTATGTACATTTTATACGTACGTTTTAGCCCCCAGTCGTAAACTTTGATTAGTTATATCTAAGTATCATTTTATTATACAACAAAATAAAAAAATACGTATCTAATATTTTTTCATTACCTAACTGACGGACTAATTACATTTTTTATTCTCATACCCTGTCACCATCCTTATTATCTAAATATAATAGCAAGCTAGCAACAAGTATAATCTTGAAGATACACTAACATTCTGAGATTACAATGCGAAAACATATTAAAGCGAATATTCCATAAACACCATGAACAATTGGTAACCGATTATACACAGCTTAAGCTGTTACTACCATACCGAGCGAGACCTGAGATCAAGTAGGACTGTGTGACCGTATTGGGTAGTTTCCAGGGTAAGAAAATTAAAAATCGAATTAGTCCGTCAGTTAGATAATGTAAAAGAATTAGACACGTATTTTTTTATTTTCTCGTATAAAGTTACAATACTTAAATTAAATGGAGTTAAGTTTAGGAGTGGGAGGTAGTTACGTCACAACGTGCTATATTTTGTTGCACGCTGTGACGTCACACGACATTTCAAATCAATTTATCGTCGAAAACATTTAATTTTGTGAGAAAAGAAAAAATACGTGTCTAATGTTTTAAAATACCTAACCTACCAGACGGACATTAAAATAAAATTAAGGAAACTACCCTATTCTATGTATTATGCGAAAAATATTTTGCCCTCTGACTGATTAACCCTAAAGCCACACTAGGAGACAAAAGACGTGCAACACGTATCGTCAGCAACATTGGGTAAAGTAGCACAAAGTTGTCGAACTTCGCTCGACATGTTATTTAACATCGCGTGACACGAGTCGCCAACTACATCAACTGAAGTGTAGGAGAGCCATGCTTCGGCACGAATAGGCCGGCCCAACCGGAGTGATACCACGGTCTCACAGAAAACCGACGTGAAGCAACGCTTAGGTTGTATTTCGTCGTGTGAGTGAGGTTACCGGAGGCCCAATTACCCTCCCCTTCCCCAATCTCCCCAATTCCTGAATCCTCAACGATCCTTAAACTCCTAATCCCCAAAAGACCGGTAACGCACTTGTAACGCCTGTGGTGTTCCGTGTGTCCATGGGCGACGCCGATTGCTTACCATCAGGTGATCCGTCTACTCGTTTACCGGGTTATACCATAAAAAAAAACCAGCTGTTGTCCGTGACGTCGTCTAGAACATGAATTTTAGAACATAACTTTCTATTTGTTTCAATTTTCCAAAATAAAAGGTGCCTATGTTACCCTTTAACTAAATGGTTAACAATAAAATAACGAAATAAAGGTAACTCCACACTTGACCTTAACCCATAAATGCTTATCGCGGTAACTCATAAACCTTCGACTTCCGCGAAGAAACTAATTAGTATAATCAGTCGACATTAACAATTGTTTAGAAGGTCCCTCAAAGAGGAAATTGTAAATGTTGATTGCAGAATTAAATTACAATTTAATGCCATACAGTTTAAGACTTGCTTTATGGGTAGTATTTGAAAGTAACAACATAATATTTTTTATTTATTTATTTAATACTAGCTTTTACCCGCGGCTTCGCTCGCGTCACAAAAGGATAAAAAATAGCCTATGTGACATAACCAATACACACAGCGCCATCTATCTATACCAATACTTTTGTTTTCCCTCGGGAATATCACATTTTTTTCGGGATAAAAAGTACCCTATTATTTAATCCGGACTTCTAACTTTACGTCTGCAAAAATTCAAAAAGCAATCGGTTTAGTAGTTACGGCGTGAAAGCGGAACAAACAAACAAACTCACTTTCCGATTTATAATATTAGTAATGATGCTTCATGCACAAAATGTACAAATAGGTGGACTTAATGCCACAGGCATTTTCTACCAGTCTGACCTTTGGGTGATGCAGAGAAGAGTAAATGGTAGGTGCAAGAGGCAAGCAGTGATTTTATTTAACAATGAAACATAAACTAATATATTTCGGAGATATACATACAATAAATAAATATAATTATAATATATGCTTACACATGAGTACAATATGCCTACATACATGCATATAAACATACATACATACATAATATATAAATATATACTTGCTTACTAGTAATATCACGCCATTTATCCCCGAAGGGGAAGGCAGGGGTGCACATTACGGCTTAATGCCACCGTATAATGTAACACTAACTTTTCACTATTAATGAGTCCTATGTAATAGGGGGTGAGCCTATTGCTACATACCAGGCACAATTCCAGACGCCGTGCTACTACTGGGATTTTAAAAACCCTGTAATACTTTGCCCTACCCAGGAATCGAAACCGAGACCCCTTGGCAGTCGTACTTGCGACGACTCGGCCAACGAGGCAATCAATTTGACTTTTTATAATAATTATCGTGAGACATACTGAATGAACTAAAAATGTTGAGTTACTTACGCAAATATACCTACTGACTACTTTGATTATATAATGTCTTTTTTTTTTTAAGGGGGGAAAATCATCGTATGACTGCTCCCGCCTGGGTGAGGCGGGAGGGAGTGTCAAACTCTTACTGACTAAAAACCACCCCGTTCCTTCTCCTGCACGTCGAGCCGGAGCCCCGGTTACCCGTTAGATTCTCCGCGACGTTATATAATGTCTAGATTATTATTATTATTATTCAAACTAATTATTACTTCCACTAAAGTTACATCAGCTAATCGTATCAAGTCTAGATGCTCTAGACTACAACAACGATATAATTATACCAAACGTCCTATATTCAAGTTACACCCACTCATTACTGCTAGCCGACGATGGGGCGTCATGTCACTTAACGACCTAAGTTATTTGATGCTACATAAACAGTTGAATGGTTAGGTCTTTAACGGATAATGAATTGCAACTGTGGCTTAGTGATCAAGGCTTTTATTTTGCTTCTGACGTGGTGGCTCGGGTATTAAAGACACCCGCTTCTAAGAAACTACCAAACCAACGGCAAGTACCAATGTAACATTTTCCAAATTATATGAACATCACAAATCATCACGCCTTTTTATCCCCGAAGGGGTAGGCAGAGGTGCACATTTCGGCACTTAACTCGTCGAGTACCGGTTTTGTAGACACAATTATAGAACAATAGGTTGCGGTCACCGGTGACCGCTTGGTGTTTGACAGTTTAATGCCACTGTACAATGTAACACTCAATTTTCACTATTTATGTTATGAATCCCATGTAATAGGGGGGTAAGTTTATATGAACTTTCTAAGATTATATTCTAGACACTACTGACAAACGGTGATGGAAAAACATCGTAAGGAAACCTGGGGTTATAATTTCTAATTATAAGATTGTAATCGCCAACCCGCATTGAGCAAGCGTGGTGATTAATACTCAAACCTCCGTGTGCAAAGAGGCTTTGCTCAGCAGTGGAAACTTATAGGCTGTTGATGATCAAATACAATATAGTGTGATTCTGAAATTTGTTATTTATTACACGGGTACATTGCCTATTTATAAAGGTTTAAAATCACCTGCTACTTTCATCTCTGCACTGCTTAAAGGTTGACTGGGAGACAATGCCGAAGGCATTAAGTCCATCTGTACACACTTGTTGCATGAAGTTGAAAAATAAATAAATGATGATCATACTTCTTCCGAATATAACCTTTGGGAGCAAAAACGCGGAGCCACCAGCGTTTTTTCTTTTTAATTTCTTGATAAAAAGTTTCTGATACAAGTATTTCATTAATTGGTCACGTATGTCGTACAAAAGGCAATTTAGTTACCTTTAAAATGAGAGGAGTATTTTTAATGGAATAGGAGGCAAAACGAGCAGGCGTAGCACTTGCAGCTGTAGCCAAATGCCATTTAGCGCTTGTCTACATGTAGAATAGAAAACCAAATTATATGGAATATACGAAATTCTCCCACTTGTCAGTGTCATCCCCATACATCTAGTCTCTTTGTAGACAAGGCTAAAGGCACTGATATTAAGCGATCAGTGCCGATCATGAACACTCGCAACACCAGAGGATTCAAAGGTGCGTTGCGAGCCTTTTAAACTGTCAAACACCAAGCGGTCACCGGTGACCGCAACCTATTGTTCTATAATTGTGTCTACAAAACCGGTACTCGACGAGTTAAAAAGGAATATCCTCTATTCTTAAAAGTCACAACTCTCTGGTTCGATATAATGAAAACAAAGGCTACGAGTGTATAAATACGAAATTTTGTAAGTGTGTAAATATTTTTTACTGAATTACATAAAAACAGCTGAAGGCCTCGGAATGAAATTTGGAACAGAGATAGAACACACATTGGAGCCCAAATGGTCCCGTACAGTTCGGTTTCAGGGTTGTGAAATGAACTTCCTGGCCGTGGTATTCCCAGTGGGCTACAACATGGGGTTCTTCAAGAGGAGAGTGAAAAGGTTTCTTAAGGGTCGGCAAGACGCATGTAATTCCCCAAGTGTTGCAAGCGTACATAGGCCACGGTAACCGCTTACCATCAGGTGGGCCGTGCGATTTTTTGCCACCGTCATGAAATAAAAAAAAAAGATTATGGTCTGGAATAACACATAGGCTACTTTTTGCTGCAGGGGACCGCAAGCGAAGCCGCATGTAGAAGGTATTGATGCCTTTTAATCCCTGAAGAGTATAATCTTCGAATGACGGCTTTCTCCTCCTCCGCCTTTGCATGAGGCGAGAGGAAGTATCACACTCTTATGAGTTGAGCCCTGGCCTTTTTGCGCCGTCTTCACTGTTTATTTTTTTTTTTTTGGTGTTATTAAAGT